TTTATTATTTCCTAACTTGTTAATTTTATAAGGTTGATATAAATACTTAGGAAACCATTACTGTTAATTGTTAGCCGTTAAGGTGATGTAAAGAGATACATTGAGTTCAGTCATTTCAAAAATTCCGCTTCTCCGTACAGCCAATTTAAAGGGACAAGGCATCGAGTGACATCAAAGGTGCCGCTCGGAGTGCCGCCTCTTGTTGTATCCCTACTCTTTGGTACAAACCAGAACAACAGGACAGGAAGCAAGTGTTGTGGGGCATGGTGCGAGGGTAAACAATGTCATGACTGTCATCAGTGTAATGACTCTCATGCGACAGCCGGCGAGGAGTGTAATGTGGTGTAATGTGTGAGGGCGTACTTATGTGAGGACAACGAACACCTGATTTCAAAATCGGCAGCGGTATTGTTCTTCGAGGAAAGACAGTACGTTGTAAGCCTTGCGAAGAATAGGCATACGAGAGACGTGTTACGATTATTACTACGATTTGCTTTGCGTTACCGTTTTGTTCTTTTACCTTTATCATCTTAATTTTATATTATTCTTACATTTATTTTCCTTTTTGTATTATATTACAAATAAAACCTATATATGTACACTAGTTATAAGTAGTATTACTGTATATTATATAATAAGGTATATAAATTGTATTCCATTTGTTATTAAAATTTTAGTGTTTCTTAATTTGAAATGTGTAATTTTTTCTTCACAGGTGGATACTTCAAATCGCAGATTTATGATCTGTGTAATTTCTCATATAAAAAATTACATGAATCATATATCTGCGATTCCGAGCATTCACTTTATTCCCATTTAAATTTTGTTCAGAGAGTATATCTATATATATGAAGTCGTATATATGTAGGACATATATATATACAATGATACTAAAATTCGATATATATATATCCAATTTTAGTATCATTGCGGAGGATAGAAGGTTGGTGGCGCTACGGTAAAAGCCCAAGTTTTTGTAGAGGGGAGTTTCCGTAATTCCGTCCCATCGTAGCAATCAAAGATGGCTGCTGTTAAGCTTGGACCGTATTTAAAAGAATTACGAATTCTTTTGTGTCAAACATCCAAGACTAGTCAAGGTGTTAGGTAATGATATTACCATATATTAAAAAATTAGCATCGTTATAAAATATAATAGTTATTAGGTAACCTTGAATATTAAATTCTAACCTATTTTTTCAGAGATTTTATTCAACAGAAGTATGTACTCCTTAAGAAAAGTAATCCACAGTTTCCAATTTTAATTAGAGAATGTTCTTCAGTGGAACCATTCCTGTATGCACGATATGGTAAATGATAAAATATTTTATGTACCTATACATTATGTCTTATAGTTATGTACATATGTATAATTGTTGTAAGAAGTCTTTGCAGTCATAAATTTTAATCACTAATAAATTATTTTTGTATCGGTATATGCATTAATTCGAAAATGACATATTTCAGAATATGGCGTAGAGCACTGTGTTTCTCTACAAAATTTAAAATCTGAAGAAATATTAAAACGCATTGTGGAACTTGCATCTAGTAAACCCAAATAAGAATTGTTCTGTTATATATGTATTCTAATTTATTTAGTAACAAATTAAATTAAAGTAAGTTGTATAAACTTAATTACATTGTATCATAATCATGTTTAAAAAATGATTAAATATTATAGTTGGATATGGTGTTCATATACTTCCCTAGATTTCCAGTTAAACTTTCCAGAACTAGGAAAAAAGATGTTCAAGTTTTATAGATATCATATTAATAATTTGTTTGGTAATTTATTGGAATAATAGAGACAATGTTGATTTAGCAGAATTTAATTATGAAAACTGTATAACTATAAAATAAAAGACAGTTAAAATCTCTTTTATACACTTATTTACAAGAAAATCGTTTCCACCGTGTAATGTTATGATTAAATGAATAATAATGTTCATAGGAATAATTTTTGATATTGCTAAAATTAAAGTTTTTAAATAATTTACATGCTCAAATTATTACTTCATTTTGTGTATATACAAAATTTTTTGTCCTTTAATAAAAGTATGAACGTTCAATAAAATTGTATATTTAGGCAATTAAAAGTGGTATATATTTACTTAAACCTGGGTCGTGTAACACAATTTTATCTTATTTATATCAAATGAAATCATCATTCTCTGTATGTAACATTTGAAATATTATAAAAATTGTATGGTAAATTGGGTGGTAAAAAATTTTGCAGTGTGGCTGGCATTGCATTGAAGTACGTTGCATTTCTTTCACGAAACACAGCATCTTGTACAGTACCTGTCACATCAGACTGAAAGTTTTGAATTGCTGTTGTTGGAATGGTTTGTACAACGATAGGTTGAGACGCTGACGCATGGGACGCAGTTTGTATTACCTATGAATATTGAGAACATACAAAACATGAGAAGGCTGGATACAAAATACAATGTTACAGAAAACTGTAATTTTATAAGATGTCCAGTTGGAGCCAATAATAAATAAAAAAATGTATATCTTAATCGTGGGAACAGATTGTAAGTTAGTGTTTGAAATATATACCACTCACAAGTCTAGTTTTACAGTCTTTCAAAACGCCGACCACAAACGTAGATATTTAGGAATGTTATGATTTCAAATGAAAACAAAGTGCTCTTAATATTATCTTGATACTTCCACTCAAAAAAGCTATTTCTACAAAACGATTTCCCCCTTAAAACGTAAAATATGGAAAAAGAAAATAATAGCCTATCTTATTAAATTACGAGAATTATTGATTAGAAATGGAGAACATATGCCACGTTGAATATTTAATAAGATAATAATTTCTTACTTGGACTGTTGATGTCTCTGTGTGGGATATAATAGCCAAGGGATCTTCATTGGGATTTGATTGGATTGTTTGTGATTGTTCTGATTGTTGTTGCTGTTGATGTATTGGTTGTTGTGAATCTAACTGTTGAGATTGCGATAAATGTTTCGTGTGCGATGTATTAATTCCATGTCTACGTTTCATATGTTTATTGTAGTTTGGCCAATTTGTGAAATGATGTTGACATTCAAGGCAACTATACGGACGTTCACCAGTATGTTGTCTCCTATGAGTCTAAAAATAAACTGAATAATTAGTACTATATCACAATAGATTCTTTCCACAAAATGAAACAATTATTTAACGAACTTACAGTCAGTATGCCTTTGAAGCGAAAACATTTACCACAAAATTCGCATGTAAATGGCATTGCTCCAGTATGTATTCTATGATGCTCTCTTAACGTTCCTTTTTCTCTAAAAGTTCTTCCACATACAGCACACTGATGTGGTTTAGCTCCAGTATGAACTGTTTCATGTTTTTTTAATTGCAATGGAGTTTTAAAGCTACAAATTATATTAAATATTTTAATTACAATTATACAAACAGAAAAACATGAGAACCACATTATTTTTTAAAACACAAACATACGCTTTTGAACACTGAGTACAGCTGTAGGGTTTATCTGCCGAGTGAGTTAAAAAATGAGCTTCCAAATTTCCTTTCTGAATAAAACTTTTACCACATTGATCGCACGTGAAATTTCTAACGCCAGAATGGATGCGTTTATGTGTAACTAAATTTGGTTTTGTTGAAAATCTAAAAATTTCTTTCTATTATGTTACAATATTTAAAGAATATAGTTAATGTTCAAGACTCATTTACATTCAACATGACTTTTATACATAAATATTTATGTAAGTATATTTAATTAAAATTAAAAGAAAAATCATAATATACATATAAATCACACACATTATACCTTTTGTCGCACTGATCACATGGAAACCTATTCTTCATTGTATCTGGTAAATGACATCGACTATGGATGTACAAAGCACTCTGCTGTCTAAATGTTTTCCCACAAGTTTGACATACATGAGGCCGTTCTTCACTATGAATTGCTTTGTGAGAATCTAATACTTTTTTATGTACAAATGATTTCCCACAATCTTCGCAACTAAGTATATATACATATACATACATATATACATACATACATGCGTACATATGTGCACCGTATATATTATATATGAAAATGTATTGTATGTTAACACGCTATACAAAACAATAAGTAATCAAATTTTTCGGTAAAAAAATTATATTTACCTGAATTTTGCTTTATTTTTGTGTCGTTTGACATGAGTAAGAAAACCATAATATTTATCATAAACTTTACAGCATAACACACACATGTATTTTGCTTGTTGGTTGTGTACAGTTTCATGATGCTCTTCTAATCCTTCTAAACTTGGTAATTTATCATTACAGTCTGTGCAAAGCCAAGGATACCTATCCATATTCTCTCCTCTCTTATGTCCAAATTTTAATGCCTCTGTTGTATGGGATTCTATGATCTCTAAATCTGAATCTGTACCTATATCAATAATGGTATGTTCTAAATAATGGGGTTATTATCTTTTTAAGTACATACACATACACTTTAAATTAGTATACAACTCAGATTGAGAGAAGTTCAAACTTATATTTAAGTATAATTTTCTTTCAAGTCAATTGACAATAGTACCATCAACCTATATAATTAGATTAATTATATGAACAAAAAATAAATTTAGTTCATGAAGTATAAATACATTACAGGAATTGTTCAATTACTTAACAAAATATATGGTTTACATTTAATATCTCTGAACTATACCGAAAATTTATGTCTTTAAGATCTTTGTTGAATTATTTTATTTATAAAGTGTTTAGAATACTTAACATATTCTAATAGCAATCCTATAAACAAATTTTACATATCAGATGGTATTACATTTTTTCCTGCTTTTAACCAAAAAAGAAACAACTTACTTAAAATACATAGACCGCCTAAAATACATGTAATATCCCTTCTGAAGGGAAATTAAAAGTGCTACTTGAAAAAATAAATATTCTAAGCTATAATTATATCTATTCACTGTGTTACAATTCTTTGTACTAAAATTTTTATAATGATAACATTAATGATACAATTATAATTACAGTATTTTTACCTGTCATGTAATTATCTGGAATCTTAATATTAGTCTTTACACTCATACTATTTTGTTCTTTTTCTAAATCAGAATTTATATACAAATTTGAATCTTCCATTTTTTGATTCTGGTTTTTTCGTTTTAATTTTTTCTTAGGTTGTTTAGGTGAGGTTTTCTTCATTTGTATTTTACATTTCTTTTCCTTTGCATTGCTTTCTGGTTCTTGAGTTTCATACTTTTCTTGACTAATATTTTTATTTTCTTCAATAAAATAATCATGTGAAGCATTAGATTCTTGAATGTAGCTATTTGATAGTTGACATTCTGTAATCATATCTCCAACTTCTTCTTCTTTTGGAAATGCAACTGTTTTTTGAATGTAATCTATGTTTGCTGCTAATGATTGTGGTTCAGACTTAGTATCTGTAAGTAATTGTCTGAGAGATGTTTGTGCCTGATTGGTCTTCTCAAAAAAATCACTGCACTGATTCAGTAATATACAGCAGTCTATACAAACTGTAAGTGGTAATCCATCACTTATTAATACCTGAAAGAAGAGATTCCATTTAAATAATACACACACGTATATATATAACAATAAAACGTATACATTTAATAAATCCATAATAAAAAAACGTAATATGATTTATTTTAAATCTAGGAATGATAGTAAAATTAGTACACATGGCAGATAGGATTTTCGAAGTGTATTAAACTTATTATTTTAAACCACATTATAGAAGACAGTTGTATTCTTGCCTGAATCTGTAAACATTTTGATATTTTAGCTTCTATAGCTAATTTTTGTCCTTCAGCATCATAAATTCCAATAAAATTTTCTTTGGTCTCGGCGCAGAGCCGGCAAAGTTCCGGCTCCGTCATTGTTCACGTAAAAAATCTGAGGATACGTCTCGCGGCACAGTGCATTGTTACAAAAATTGTAAATTTAATCACATCACCTCAGATTTACACTGTGATATGTGGTAAATAAAAAATTGGTTCGGACGCCAAACAAGATAGCGGACATGTTGTTTCTTTGCACAAGAAAAATATAAACTGCTTTTCAGTACACGCACAAAAAATTGTTTTAACATATGTTCTGTGTTAATACATTAATTGGTAATGATGTTGGATTCTTAAGAAACAATTAATGCTGGACTTTCCATAATGTCATATCCGATTAAAAGCACTCATTTATTTCATTGTTTCGTTATGCTTGCAGAAAAGTGCATAGGTACTGCTACGTATATGTATTGTTGCGATCCTCGTTCATGTCACGTAGCGGTGTATGTCATAAGCTCCAGAGGCGCGAAGTTTGAATCGAATGACACATGTAAAGAAAAGGAGGGTAAAGGTGAAGTTAACACTGATTGGAGAATGTGTAACCTGTTAGAGATCCTTTTAATAAACGCATTTCAAGATTATAAAATAATCAATATTCACTTA